TAAAACTAATAAAAGTGAACTCTATTTCGGTACGAGAAACTAATTTTAAAAGGAATGATCGAATAAAGATGAAATCGAACAGTTGATAAAACAAATCTCTCTAAAGAACATTTGAAGAACATAGGAGGGATGTATGTTATGGTTGTCTGTCAGAGAAGCTAATCATCGAAAATCATTTCCTCGACAAATTTATTTCTAATATATAAATGGACAACGCTTTAACTTTGCATTTAATAAACATGTTTACCTAACATTAACTAAGCAGTGTCTAGTTAATTATGATAGCACCAATACCCCATATAAGTTGTAGTGGTCTTATTAGACAAAATGTCCCCTAAATTGTATGCAATCTAGTAAATTCAATTCATCTTAATGATCTCTTGTTTTGCCAACTCTAATAAATCTCATCTAATTCTATCCCGATTCCCCACCAAGAAGCTTCCATTGTTGTTGTTCACACCTAATCAATGCATTAATTTGAACAAGTTATTAATAGAATGAAAACAAAAACATGTTCAATAGTACTTCACGAATACGTTTTTTAAAGATTGGTAAGTGGTAACTTAGACTGACAGTTAGTATTAACAAAGTGTAATTATAGAGTCTATTTTTCTTTTGTACACAATAGTAATCAGTGAGATGTGTCACATTTTTAGGTTATCGATTACTTTATCACATTAATATATTGACATGTTGGATACATGGAAATTGTTTGCAAACCAAGTTTTGATCAAATCATGTTTTATGGTTGTGACTTGAGAGTTATGAACATTAATTCGGCCAATGCCTATTTTTTAGTCAAGCCGTTTATGCATATGCTTTATGAAATATTATCTGAACTCTTTCTAAAACCAAACTTTTTGTAACACCCGCATTTTCCAAAATAATAAAATAAATAAAAATGTCTGAAATCTCCATTTATTAAATCGCATAAATCATCTCCAAACTCCATAAATCCAAATAACATAATAAATCTCAAAATAACGATAAAAATCAGTCTGAAAATAAATAAAATAAACTCCCAAAAGCACCAATCCGAAATGATCACTCCTGATCGTCNTAATAAAATAAATAAAAATGTCTGAAATCTCCATTTATTAAATCGCATAAATCATCTCCAAACTCCATAAATCCAAATAACATAATAAATCTCAAAATAACGATAAAAATCAGTCTGAAAATAAATAAAATAAACTCCCAAAAGCACCAATCCGAAATGATCACTCCTGATCGTCAGTATCACCTGAAATGGGGGAAGAGAGAGGAGTGAGTAACAGGGGAGTCACTCAGTGAGGTATGGGATGCTAACCACGCAAAACACAGACTTGAGTAAACAGAACTCCCACTATGGAAGTTCAGCTCTAACATGAACAATCAAGACACCTAAGGCATCACAAAGAACAAACAAATGCGCTGATAGTGCATAGCTAGACCACACACCACGCATCTCCATATATGGATATATATATATCATACGCTGTGTCGCTAGTACAGTATGTCTCTGTACCCCCGCCCTCCAATCTGCGTCGAATGCAAACGTCTCTGCACCGCGCACCACACAGTTGCGTCGCTAGCCCAGACGTCTCTGAGCCCCCGCCCTCCAAAGTTGCGTCGATAGTCCAGGCATCCCTGAACCCCCGCCCTCCCACATAGTCCCTACTCATAACTATGTATGTACATATATATATACCATATCTTAACATCACACAATCCAATCAACGGTTGAATCCTCTAGACCCCTAGTTCCAATTTGCAATGAATGAACTAACTAGCAATCAAGACTCAAACAGACTCAATTCAAACAGACGGATCATGTTTCGAAATCTAAACTACGATAGGAAGAATTCTATACTGGTACGGGAGTTACGGATTAGACCCTCACCTTAGCAAATGTGAAAAAGTGGTAGCTGTGAACTCCTGGTGCTCAAACAGACTCCAAATCTGAAATCAAGGCGAAAAATCGAGTCAGAACGCCCTTCGAACGGTTAAAAACGGATAACCGGTGATTTGGTCAAAAAGTCAACTCGCTGGTCAAAGGTCAACCCGGTCAACTCTGACCCAAGCCGGTCAACCCTTGACCAGATTGAAATCGAATTGAACCGCCGGTTTTCCTTAACCGAATTCGATTTCAATTGGACCAAAATCAAATC